TAAAACATTGTTGTGAGTTAAATTAATACATTTATATAGATTGTATATAAGCAAACAAGCGCATTAGTTTTCTTCCATCATAAATATAATAAAGTATTTATAAAAGAAAAAAAACATCATTGTTCACATTAAAAATTATAAATTACTAAATAATAATTATATTATGTTTTTCAATTAATTTTTATGTATGATAAAGCGTACGGATTATAAAAAAAAAAAAGCAAATTAAAGGACAAATCATTGGTACAAATATTATATGATTTGTGGTATAAAAATTGGCGTTTCTGGTTTTTGTGATCTGAAGGATATTCTTTGGCATTATTTTAATGGCTCCACGAACAAAGAAAGCTCGGGCACTCTTGACATATACGATTATATAAATACTTGTGTGTTGTGCGATCGAAAACACAACGAAAAATCGGTAATTTGCTATATCTGTTTTCCTACTTCATTAAAAATATATTCGAATACAGTATACATTTTATATTACATCAAATCGATTTAATTTTATACTTTACACCAGTGAGCGGAATACGTGTATAAATAAATTTCACGTAGCGACCCCTACAAAGTGCCAGATATAATGTGAAAGATAAAACGTGATAATAATTTTTTTTTTTTTCAATCGATCAGTGCGTTTTAAAAACGATGATTCCGAATTCACCACGGCTAAATAATATTCATTATGATTGTTGCGATCTCGATTAAATTTTCATTTTCAGTTCATATACAATTAACGTAGTTCAGTTTTCGTAATTTTAATACGTGCCGTGTAACTTATAAAACATTCTTACAATCCAAAAATCAAAATTGGCGTGGAGCAGAGTAATTATTATATAAAACATAAAATTAATTAAATACGTTTCAATAGTGTTCACTAAGTTGCAAATATTATTTTCTTAAAAACTAAATGAAAAAAACTTGTACTGCTATTGTATTATGAGAAAAAAAAATATAAATAAGCGATCTACCTTCAGGTTTCGCTCAGGAATCTAGAATTATAATAAAAACATTTCTGACACTTTTTATAAATATACCTATTCTTGTCATTGTTAAACTCAAATTTGCTATACGTATCTATATCCTACGACAACTTACTCGTATAACATAGGTATTGTATTCACATTTTACACAATTAGCAAAGGGTAATTGAACGTTTTTTTTTTATTTATCATGTATTTCATACAAGTATCAAAGTAAACAGATTTTATGAGTTTAATGCATATACATATAATGTAAAAAGTTATATTTTACATTTTATTTAGAACTCAGGAGAACAATATAATTATTTAAGAGTACACAAATAATTAATAATATTTTTCATAAAATTGCTATGCATAAAATAATACAAACTATTTGAATATTTTTGTTACACTTATAAAACAGATAATGAAATTTCTTCAAAATTATTCAATTTTGCATTATACGAGTATAGTCATTAATGTATTAAATGTTATTAGATTTTAATGATTTTCTTCTGAATAATGAGTTTTGTAAACAAAATATTCGAAATTCGCTGATGAATATATTATTTTATTAAAAAGAGAATAATTTCTAACATTAATTTTTGAATTTATTACATTTTACAAATCGTCAACAGTATTAAAATGATTGCTAGTATAAAATTTCAGTACCGGAATGATATGTAGTTTATTATGATGCATAATATATTCCATTCGTATATACATAATTAGGTTTAACTATTTTTAACTTTGTTAGGGTAATAGAGGATTTGTAATTTTATAAATTATTTACTCGCAGACAAAACATTAAACTATTAAAAATTCCTTATTTTTACCAAGAAACTGAATATTCAGCTGATTTATATTCGTGATATTAAAAACATTATTAAGTGCTGTTGTAAAATGGTTGTCAGGGCTTGTAATTAAGTATTTCAATGAATTTACAATATAATTTTACTACATTCGGTTATCACTCTGACATTCATATTGTTCCTATTACTCGCATAAAGAACCGCAATAAAATCTACTGTTTTACTTTGTATATTGATGATAGTTCATAATTTGGTATAGAAAAGTACGACAAAAGTATTATGTATAGTATAGTATAGTATATAAATACTACATATGTATTTATCTGCACATTTATATAATCACACATTTTTGCTCTATTATGTTTGCAAAATTTCTATAATTGAGTAAAGCTGCGTTGGTTAAATAATTCAAATTTACTTTTTATTTAATTTTAATAAAAAGCCTACTAATGCAGTTTTATTTTTTTTTTGATTTAAGACCCATGTATTCAATAGTAATGAGGCAAAATTAATTATAATTTATATTATTTGCATTCGCCAATATATATTTCTTAAAATATATCTTATATAAAAACACAAAAAAACGTACGCTAAAAAGGTTCAAAATATCGAAATATTTAATAAACTTCCAATATTTATTTTTGCAGCTTTAATTTTCTCTGGTTTTTTCAATTTTTTTTTTTCTTATGCACATGCAAAAAAGTAATGTATATGGGTAAATTAAATATTTCTTAAAAATAAAATTTAATTTATATAAAATAAAGTACAATATTTTTATAAACATTTTAAAGTTACTTTTATATTAGAAAGTTCTACTTTATAAAAAAGAAAAGGAATTTAAAAAAAATTATTTTTTGTTATTAGAACAAGTTTAAGTAAAATGATTTGTAGTATCTGAGATAACTAAGTATACATGGGCCTTAAAACAAAAACTAATAAAAATTCATTCGAAAGGGCATGTGACGAATAGTTCCTCCCGAACGAAACAGAGCATTTATTGTATCAATAGTTTAAGTTATTTGATTAGACTTACAATATCGATATACTATGAAAAAAATATATATACATGCGTATTAAACATATTTCCAATAGCTAATTGAAAACATATAAAAATACAATAAAATGCAATACAGAGTGGATTTATTTTGACAATTTAATTAAATCATAAGTATAATATGTATACTTACGTAGGTAGGCATTAGATATCAATATTTTATTTATAAAATGTAGATTATGAATGAATTTTTTCACAAAAATTCATGAACAAACAATGATTAAACGTCTATTTTTTAAGAAAAACTTAAATTAAAGTGCTGTTATGCAAAACGTGTACCAAAATCGTTATACTGTTATTGCTTTTTCTTAATAAAAATTTTGTGAATTAGACAAAATAATAATGTTATATTTTAATATAACGTTTAAACTCGCTTGTAGTTTATTCATATTAAGCTTATTTTGAAATCATATATTTATAGAATATCTATCAAAATATTTTATTTTTATTAACTTTGACGAACATTTCGTTCTTCGTAAAAATTATATTTTTCAAAAGGAATTAATTTTCAAACATTTCCTTTTAATATAATTTAATTTAAATACTTCTTAAAGAATAACAAATTTATTTCGTATGAATGGATTCATATTATGAATTATGTAGCAATTTTTACTAACAATGTTAAATCAATTTAATTTCAAAATATTTTAATTTTGCAAATTTAATAAATGTGAATATTAATTATTAATATTAATTTAAAATAAACAATTTTAGATATTTTTAATACATTTCATGGTCGAGGTTCATAATCGTGATTTATTACTTTTTAATTTTAAAAATAGGCAAATAATAGCTTTTTCAATTATTGCATTATTATAATAGTTAACTATCAACTAATTAACAACAATTTTTAATTCTAAAAATTTAAAAATTGCATTTTTTTTTTGTGTTATACATTTCACCCCATGTCATTTTTTTTAAATGTTTTTATATTATCGGTTACGACTTGTAATGTTCGATGCAAAACTGCGTTTAGATAAATAAACAATACTTATTCCAACACAAATATTGATTTTTTGATAAAAATATTTCTAAAATGTTTTTCAGTAATGTTGATTTAGTGTTTCTAAAGGGGTAACTTAACATTTTTTGACAACTATAATTAAAGTTATACCTAAAAAATTTGATTACTTAGTATGATAATCAGACAAGAAATATAGAGTTCCAACTCTATAGAAAATAATATAAACGTTCAATAACAATATTTCATTGTAATATGATAAATGAGACACAACATTTTTAAACCTTTCATACCAATTTTTCATGCTGAAAAAAATATAATTGTAAAATACGAACATCAATTTTTAATTTAATTTAAAATCATATTATAGATTAGATGAATTATTTATCAATGGGATTAACGTTAAAATAAATATTTGGCAATATCACGTTCGTTGATCATAACAGCACAACGTTCGCTGTTTAAAAAACATAACGTTGAACACAGTAATAAATATTTAACTGTCGGTCAACTATTAGATACCTGTATTCTTGTACTTCGGTCTTCTTACACATACGCGTACGCATCAATTGCAACCACGCATTATAAAATAAAATTAGATTACGCCGTGGTCCACGAGATAATTTCCTGAAATTCTCGTAAGCTTAAAGCTGTATCGAAATCAATACACTCGGAAACATAAAACGATTGGCAACAAAATAAATCAAGAGTTCAATGAATACTGCAGTGCAGCGTTATCGGTACCAAAATCGTTGTTGTACGGTTCGCTCGATTTTATTTCGCGGAAAACCATTTTTTTCTATCTCGTACCAGGCTAGGTATGCTCATAGGTCACCACATAGGTACGTTCACCGAGATCGACACGGCACGGAGGGGCGGTCGAACGACCGAAAATCGCGTAACGCAACCGCGGTCGGCGACGGTTTATCGAAAAAAAAAGAAAAAAAAACACATACATCATTTATGTTTTTTTTTTTTTTTTCTTTTTTCGATAGAACACAAATTACGTTCTCGCGTTATTCGCGATAATTTTTACGTTTTACGGTTCCGCCGACACTCGTCGGCACCGCGACGCAACAGCGTCTAACCCACATGGCACGTGCTCGTATTACGGGTACGCGGAAACGGATTTCGAGACGAAACCGAAACCGTTTCCCGTCGCCGTCACCGTGCGTTACGTTACAATTATAAGTTACATTCGGGGTACTTACCGATCTCGAGACGCCCGGCTCGGCGGCGAGAATAGCGAGGACCGTGGCGATCGCGATCATCGTCGTGGTGTGACGTCGGAATGTACCCATGGCGGCTGCGACGATCTGTGCTGGTGGATGTCCGTGGAATGACTGCGAGCACGGCGGTGGCAACAAACGACAGACATCGGGACCGCTTCCCCCCACCGGTAACCCTACGGGGATGATCGGCTCGGGGGTAGGCGGCGAGAAGGTGTACGCGCGCGCGCGAGGTGGCGCCCGACGATTCGACTCTATGAGTTGCGGTCGTAGACGCCACCGCCGCCCGACGACGACGGCCAATTTTTTACGGGGAAACGGATTCGTCCAACGTATTAAAAATAAGTAACAGCAATAATCGTTATCAAGTCCCGATAGTTACAATCATTATTGTTAGTGTTGAAACCCTGTTCGGCCGACCTTACTTTGGATGAAAAAAATCCGTTAAATGGATATACGATTTTTTCACGTAAGAAAGTCGTTTCTGGCAATAAATAATAATCACGTAATAATATACAATTTACATAATAAGAAAGTATAGTAATACTGTACGGTAACAAATAATATTAAAAGCATTTATATATTTTTTTTATGAGTACATTGTTACATTTTTACATAAGATTGTTTCTCGTGTGTACTTTCTAAATTACAATAGTTCAATATTCGTTGCAAAGTTATAATAGTAAAATAATTTGTTAAACACAAAAATGTAATGTTTTTCACGGTTTCATAAAAAAAAATTGTTATGTAGACATTTTATTGCTATCGTATAATGTTATACGAATATAATAATATCAAACTGCACCAGTGTCCAATATCGAAAAGCTCAAGGAAAGAATATTTGGTGATGAACACTCGTGATTTTAACTTAAAAATGAGTCATAGTGGGCAGATCTTTAAATACTAATCAATCCTCTTATATTTATAATATAATAACTTTCTGAATCAGTATAGTAGATGTCCCAAAATGTTGATGTAGGCTAGTTTAAAGATTAATGAACCATTATCTAGTTATCCATTGAAATTATTAATCGAAATAAGCTGATTTTAGTAGCATGCACTAAGTTAGAAAAAAATTATTCCCAACTAATTATGAAAAGGTATTTATAATTAATCTGTATATATAAAAGTTTCGTGTCATAGTATTTGTAACCATACTCTTCCGAAACGGCTTGACCGATTTTAATGAAATTTTGTATAAACAATTTGGTAGGTCTGAAAATAGGTTCTTATCTATTTTTCAAACTCCTAAGTGCTATTGTTTAATACATCGTAGTTTAATTTAATAATTTTTGACCTGGTCGATAACTGCACAATTTAAAATGAATTATTAAATAAAACTATTAAAAAATTATTAGTTTTATTTTTAGTATTGAATTACAGGTATTGCATAAATATTAAACAACAAGATCCCCGCAACAGGTGCCAAAACAAATAAAAATGTTAGTTCGAAGAATTATTATGCATATCGGTTGATGATTAGACGCGATCAGAACAAAGTTATTCTACGATGTCATGAGCTTTGTCAACAATTCATGGTCGAAATGTATGTAAAGATAGAGAACGAGCGATTTCGATACTTACGATTCAATCAAAAAAAGCTGCGTACGGAAGATTCTCAAAACAATAGTTAGATATCGGTGATGGGAAAGTTACTACAGATGAAACGGCATGCTTAAAATTACCGATTGATTTCTGCACAAGATGCTCTCATCGACCAGATATTTCCCAATGTACACAGAAAATACACAAATCATGAGTGGCTGGCAGAAAGAGTAATTCTAGTAGCAAAAAATGTGGACGTCAACGAATTGAATCTCAAGATACAATATTTGTTACCAGGAGACTTGGGGTCATACAAATCTATAGATACAGTTTGCGATGCTACTGAAGCTGTAAATTAGCCAACAGAGTTTTTAAACTCATTGGATTTATCAGGCATGCCATCGCATAATTTACAATTGAAGGTTTATTCTCGGGTTATTTTGCTTCATAATTTGACCCACCACTGTTGTACAACGGCTCACGATAAGTCGTTAAAAAATTAATGAAAAATACTATCGAAGCCATCATTTTAAATAGCAAATTCTGAGGTGAAAATATATTATTACCACGAATCCCTATTATATCCACAGATATGCCAATATAATTTAAACGCCATCAATTTCCAATTAGATTAGCATTTATAATGACTGTCAATAAGTCTCAAGGCTAAACGATGTCTGTAGCTTTGATTTGAACACATCATATTTTTCACACGGACAATTATACGTGGCATGCTCTCAAACGATCCAGTTTATGTTGGCAAATGATGGGATAACAAAAAATATTATACACTCTGTTGCATTAAGGGATTGATATTGTTTTTTCACTAATATTGTCATAATTAGCGATATATATATATATATATATATAATTTTAAAGGATCAATTTTAGTAAATTATTAAAAAAATAAATGTTTGATGTTTTTTCATTTTGATATTTCGTCACCGTTCACAGCACTCCAAGTGGAAGACACATATATACCACATCCTTACACACTTATATCAAATTAGTTATTTTTTTCTAGCAAAATGTTCTCTAGTAATAATTTATATGACAAAACAACGTTTGTCGGGTCAGCTAGTTTTCTATACATCACTCAAATTAAATTTATTAAACAAATTAAAATAAAATTTTAAAATACATAAATTGACCTAAGAAAAAACCCTTGTATTACAATAATATTCATATATAGCAATACTTTTGAATTTATATATACCCGATAATACATTTTTAATTCAGCTAGGCATTTATTTATATATATATTTATGAGCATTAACCATTTATTAATTTTTGTTTTATATTATTATTTTATTATTTCTTATAATATAATTCGGGAAAAATGCAATAAAAAATATTTACAGTTTAAGTATCAAAAATGTGGGTTGGATATAAATTTAATAAATTGGTATAGATACACATTTCAGTGTTAACATTTTAAATAAATTCTACCCAAGTTTGTAGTTGAAATGATAAACTGTATACGTTCAACCCCCTAACAGTTCTAAAAATCTTTTGACATTGAACATTTATATGATGCGTAAATAGACGAATTGATGATAATTTTGGTGAATTGGAATTATGACTTTAAATGGTTGCATAAGAATTACACTTAAACTAAAAATTTAATTCACTAACCATGATTTGCAAGATAATTGATTGTTTTTTTTTTTTTTTTTTTATATATTTTTATATGAAGTAATTAATAAAATAAAGTAATTTTTAAGCATTGAAATGCTCTTATGGCATATTTTTTAAAATATCTTTAATTAAAAATTAATGGGAGTTGGTTGAAATTGTATCCGACTATTAGGACTGCATACATTTTTTGTTGTACCTATTTAACATTTTTATTTTTGTTATTTCTTGTTCAATATGTAAGTACACAAAAAAAATTCAAATATAACAAATAAATAAAAAGACATCTTTGAATGCTTTATCTTGAAAGTTCAAATTTTTAATGTCATCAAAATTTTACGTTCTTTTTACGAAAATATTTCATCGAATTATTGATAAATCAAAAAAGGGGTTGAATTCGTTCACAATATTAATATTATTTGTCGAAATCTGTTTATGTTGATATAGGATTATTAGTATACAGTTTAATTTATAACGTTGATTATTTTTTATGAATATAGTCCTATAATTAACACATATGTTACTATTACCAAAGCTATGAGTAGTTGTATGTATACATGATTTAAATTTGTAGTTACGTATTATACTCAGATATTTAATAAAAATTATGTCATCGATCATATTATTTAAATTTATATTTCCACATATTATAAGTGATTAAAATTCGCAGTTATTATTCAACCGATGTTCTAAATTATTAATAAATTCAACTGGGTGATCTATAAATGCATGTTAATTTAATTAATATATAATTATAGAAAACTGAGAAATGTAATAAGCCACAGTAATTGCATTAGATGCATTTAATGAACTATAGTAATTACAAAAACTATAAACTTTTATACCGCAGTTACCTACATAACTATTTAACCATATTTAAAATAACAATAAAATATTTAATTAAATATAAACTGAATTAAAAACCTTTAATATTTCGTTAATGTTAATTAATGGTATCTGATATTTCTAACATTCAGAAAAAAACAGTAAATGTATTATTATTTATGGTAAAATTGTTACAGTTGTTAATTATAAACGTTTCGTAATTAGAATTATTTTAATTATATAAACAATTTAAATCAAAATTAAAAAAATTGTATAAATTATATTTTATTAATTTGATCATTTTCTTGTTCACTTTGCCAAAATTTGACTAAATACATTTTCAATCATATTTTTCAAAATTTCTTTTGCCAACCAGAATAATCTTTTATTTTCCCTTATAATTTGATTCTTGATATATTTTTAACATGAGAAAAGTTAGTATACAAGTTATTAGCAGTTAACGAATTTTTATTTTAAACCGTAATTTTATTGACTTAATATTAGTCTTTAAAGGTTGTAGAATTTAATTTAGCTATTATTATACCATCTGTATTCTTATATGGTTTGCATGTGTAAGTATCAGCAATATCTTAATTTTTAAGACCAATGTTTAATATATTAACGATGGATGTAATTATAATAAGGTTATTTTTTCATTAGTAGTTTATAGAATATATGTTGATTCATGTATGTTTTTCAAGATGATTTTTTAGGTAATCAATTTATTTTTCAAGTTATGTGCAAATAATTTCTATTTACATTGCTGTATTTTCAATAAAATTAACAATGTTTTTAACAATGTCCATTTTTTTTTATTTCACCAAAATAGAAATAAACATAGAAATTTAATAAACTTTCTATTGATGCAACTTTAGTAATTCAATTTTTCTAAACATTTTTTGCATAGAAAATTTACTGACTCAAAAGCATAGTTATCTTCACCAGACGCCATCCGGTTTTTATCTTCCGTATTAATAAATTCCTTTTTTTGCATAATATTTTAATATTTATAATTACAATAATCACAGGTCTATTTATTAAATAATCTTATTACATTCGGAAAGCGGTTCAATGATAGGTATATGGTATATGGTTAATGGAATTTAAAATCATATTTATTACA